TCGGCAGACAAGTCTCGTCCATGTCGTCAATCGTCGTACGCAGAACATGCGGATACTGTGGATGTGAGCGGCATCGAGTTTCCAGCAAAACTGGAAGACATACCAGTCATCGAAAGACTGAACGACGGTCTTTACATCAACGTCTTCGGATATGAAGAGAAAGTCATATATCCGTTAAGAATTTCTCAGCAACCGCAGTCCGCCATCAATGTATTGCTCATCCAAGACGAACGCAATGACGTGGAGGTGCAGCACTGGGTGTGGATAAAGTCATTCAGTCGTCTTGTTGCTACTGGAGCACGTCGAGCACATTTCGTCTGCTTCAGATGTCTCTCAACACACGTCACGGAGAAGGCATTGAATAATCATATGATGTACTGCAGTGAACATCCTGAAGCTACGGTGGAGATGCCAAAGGCTGGCGATAGAGTGATGTTCAGGAATGTGAACAAGCAGCTTCAAGCCCCATTTGTAAGTAGAACACTTAATCAAGGTGAACACACTGTGGTATGTTTTTGTTTTTTTGTTTTTCTTCTTTCCTGCACATGTTTCTTGACTCTGATTGTTCACCTTTCTGCTGTTTTACTCGGTGTTGTCTCTGCAGCTATTCCTAATTCTCTATCTGTCTTTTCTGCTGTTTTACTCGGTGTTGGCCCTGCTGCTATTCATACTTCTCTCTCTCTCTCTCTCTCTCTCTCTCTCTCTCTCTCTCAAATGCAGGTGATCTATGCCGATTGTGAGGCCTTCATAGAACCTCTGTCCGCTGTCAAGAAAATCGGTCATTCGACATTCCAAAAGAACAAGCATGTAGCCTGTTCCTGTTCGTACATTGTAGTACGATCTGATGGCGTCGTCACGAACCGTTTCTTCTACCGTGGAGAAGATTCTATGTTCTGTTTTCTGCTGTCACTTGAGCAAGAGGAGGAGATTATCCGTGATGAGCTTCTAGCATGTAATGCTGGTCAAATGATCATTTCAGAAAGTCAGCAACGTGAATTTGAAACGGTAGTCTCCTGTTGGATCTGTGGTGAAGCGTTGGGTAGCGATCGTGTACGTGACCACTGTCACATCACCGGTGCTTACCGTGGTGCAGCACACAACCATTGTAACCTGAACATGCGGATTGGGCCATTCAAGATCAAGATTCCTGTGATCTTTCATAACTTGAAGGGATACGATTCTCATCACATCATATCTGCCATTGGGAGAACGTCCACTGATGAGATTACGTATGTGAACGAGAAAGGACAAGAACGGGTACGTTACATATGCGTGGTGTGTATGTGTGTGTGTGTGTGTGTGTGTGCGTGTGCGTGGATCATGATGTTTTTCTAAGAAGGAAGATCATTACTATGTTGGTACTCATATTCACGTTTATATGATTGATATTCATCTTTACAGCTGCACCTTAAAACTGTGTCTCCTCTTTTTCTTTCTTCTTCTCAGACCAAGCGTCTCGGTGCTATCAACGTGATTCCCATCAACAGTGAAAAATATGTCACATTCGGATGGAGACAGTTCCAGTTCATCGACAGCCTGGCATTCTTGAACACCTCCCTAGACCGGTTGGTTTCGGCTACACCACCAGATGCATTCGCCCTTCTATCCGCACGATTTCCAGACGAGGATGAACGCAAACTGTTGACACGAAAGGGTGTCTACCCGTATGAATATATGGGGTCGTACGACCAATTCGAAGAAACGCGTCTACCACCCAAGGATGCATTCCACTCAACGCTAACGAACACGGTGAGTAGTGTGACAGATATAGTAGATCTTTCTCTCTTTCTTTTTTCACCATCTTACTTCGAAGTACTAAAATAAGCCAAAATGTGTTTGAACGCTTCCTGCAGCTTCATACTAAATAATTGATTGTGTGGGCGAACTACTAAAATAAGTTCGTTGATTTGTTTTTCTTTTTGGTGTACATTTTCTATTCCCTAGGGTATCAGTGATGAAGACTATGCCTATGCGCAAACAGTATGGACTGCGTTTGACTGTGAAGATCTAGGAGACTATCACGACCTCTACCTGGAGACTGATGTGCTGCTGTTGGCTGACGTTTTCGAAAACTTCAGAAGAACTGCTCACGCAACCTATGGATTGGATCCCGCTAATTACCTCACCTTACCGGGATTTGCCTGGGATTCGCTGCTGAAAATGACGAAGGTGTCCCTTCATCTCATTTCCGACATTGACATGTTCAACTTCATTGAGCATGGCAAAAGAGGTGGCATAAGCATGGTGTCCGCTAGACACGCCACCGCCAACAACAGATATCTATCGGAATACAATCCAGACGAGCCGTCAAGCTTCATCCAATATTTAGATGCGAACAATCTATATGGATGGGCCATGTCTCAACCCTTGCCCGTGTCGGACTTCTGCTTTGAAGCAGTGACGGATGATCTTCTGGAGACGGTACTCGATCATCCAATGGACTCTTCGACGGGATACATGGTGGAGTGCGATTTAAGGATTCCAGATGGTGTGCATGACATGATGAATGATTATCCGTTGGCTCCTGAGAAGATGAAGGTGACACGAGATATGCTTTCTCCATATCAGACCCACATGGCAGAGAAACTAATGGTAAGTCATGGTCTATCTGGTGGATATGCTTGTATTAATCTTCTAAGGTTTGTGCATATCTATACTGTACTCTTGTAGGTGAGCGGTTTGGAAGCGAAGAAACTGGTGCCAAATCTACTACCGAAAGAGCACTATGTTCTGCACTACAGAAACTTGCAGCAGTATGTGTCCTTGGGTGTGGAGATTACAGATGTGCATCGTGTGCTCTCCTTCACACAACACCCATGGATGAAGCCATACATCGACACTAATACTGACCTGAGAAAGCTATCAACTTCTGATTTCGAGAAAGACTTCTATAAGGTGGGTACTCCACATCATGTGTGTGTGTGTGTATTTAGCGATAGTGTGGGATCTAGTATGTACTGGAAGTGTGAATGACCTGAAGATAACAGTTTTCTTATTGTTGTTTTTCTTGTCTTTTCTTTGTATGCCTGTTTATCGTAGTTGATGAACAATGCTGTATATGGCAAGACCATGGAAAACGTTCGAAACAGAGTAAACATCAAGCTCATTCGTGAACAGGATGAAAAACCACGTCTCCAGAAAAGCATCAACAAACCTTCGTACATCCGCAGTGTAACCTTTGAGAACGATCTGATAGCAATCGAGTTTGCCAGGACAAAGGTGACTCTCAATAAACCCATTTATGTGGGTACAGCCATCCTCGATCTGTCGAAGCACTTGATGTATTCCTTTTACTATGAAGTTCTCCTACCCCGCTATGGACAAAATGTACGTTTGCTCTACACTGATACTGATAGTCTGATCGTACATATTCAAACGGATGATCTGTACACGGATATGTCAAACAACATAACAGCCTATGACACATCCAACTATTCACCATCCCACCACCTGTACAGCACGGTCAACAAGAAGGTGGTAGGGAAGTTCAAGGACGAACTAGGTGGCAAACCCATCAAGGAGTTCATTGGTTTGCGGAGCAAGATGTACGCATACCGCTGTGAAGACAACGACGACAATGGCAAGCGTGCCAAAGGTGTGCAGAGAAGCGTGTTGAAAAACACCATAACCGTCGATGATTATCGAACATGTCTCGTCGAGGAGTCTCAGCTGAAGAGAACAATGAATGTTCTTCGAAGTCGACGACATTGCATTCACGGAGAGGACCTACACAAGATTGCCCTCAGTGGATTCGACAGTAAGCGCTACATTCTGGAGGATGGTATCAACACCCTGGCATTCGGACACAAGGATATTCCAAAGCACTGATGGATTTCCACACATACTAGAGCATATGTCATATCTTCTCATGAAATACATTGTAAATACTATGCGATTCATAATATTCACGTTAATCCAAAGCATGAGCTACATTGTACATATGAAATGCTAATACTTTTTGAGATCATTCACATCCTTCTTTGTTAACCAGGTATGGAATTTTTCGTCTTGATAACCCTTCCATTTGACGAGCCGACTGTTCTTGTTGTATTTCAACACCTTATCGAATCTCAATCCTGTGTGTCTGGCATGTTGTAGCTCAGCTCCATAGAACTGTCCTTGAATGACTTCTCCCATCAGGTCTTGAACACGATAGGTGTGGGGTACAGTGGGTAGGACATCGTTTATCATGAACACTTCCTCTGTCCAGTTGGGCGTGTACCCTTTCTCGAAATGACGTTTAGCCACAGCCAAACGCACATCATCGCCCACTTTGAATTTAGCTGGTGATTGCTTCGAGTGTACGTCTGCATCTTTTGGTTTTCCATCAAGAGAAGCTTTCGTGGGACTCATGCCGATACTGCGATGTTTCGAGCTGTTGTACTTGACCATAAGCTGAGTAAGGACGTCAAGATACTGTGTCGTAGCTTTCTCCGTGAAATGGCGCCACATTCTGCCTTTCAGTGTTCTATTGAAGCGTTCCACCACCACGGCTTTTCCTTCGTTGTGGGTGCTGTACATGATGATGTTGTGATCCTTGACCCATTGCTTCATTGTTGCATTGTAGAACTCCTTGCCTTCGTCTACCCATAGTTTTTGTGGTACCCTGTTCGATGTTTTCAGGATCAGGTCGAATGCATCCCTGACAGCAGAGCCAGTTTTGGTTTTCAGGGGTACTGCCCAGGCATAGCGACTGTACAGATCGATGACGGTCAGCAGGAATTTGTAGTTCTTGTTGCTTCGGGCAAACCGTTGCATATCCACTAGATCGGCACTCCAGATGTGATCCACAGACCTGCTCTTCACCTTGCGTCTTTTGAAATGCACTCGTCTGGGTTTGTGCAATTCGTTAGCCAGTTGCGTGTGGAATGGTGTGGACTGCGACTTCTTCTTCTGTCTTCCATCATGAAGTGCTTTTTGCACTTTCGTATCCCACAAGGCTCCACCACCTCGCAAGGCACCTAAACTGAGAACCAGTTGATCGTTTTCCAGCTTTTCATCCTCATCGAAGACTCTTCGGAAAATTCGAAGTGCTTCATCCAGACCATATTTGGAAAATAGCTTTCCCATCAATATGGCATACCATCCACATACTGCTGTGATTCTGTCTTGAACGGCTTGGGTGTTGGTGATGATCTTACAGTCTGCATAGGCTTCTTTAAAGAAATCGCACAGTGCAGGTTCAGTGTAATCTTGCTCCATAGTGTATAGACTGCGTCCGAAACTGTCAAAAACCAGGATCACGTTTTGCTCGCGACACACGGTCAACCAATGATGTCCACCTTCCGGTGCATCGTACACCGGTAGAACGTTGTCGGTGTTGACGATACAAAAGTCTCCATTGTTCAAGGGTGGTAAGAGGTCGTAACTTGTACACCCCACGAACCCTCCAACACCATTCAATCTTCCTTTGATGTCGGCACTGCTGAGAGGGTAGTCCATTCTTGATCATAGCCTGAAAATTTTCGCGCGCGTGATCACATTGAACGTCCACTCAGGATATCCTTGATGATACGAGTGATCCTGCTTTTATCCTTCAGAACCTCTTGAATGAATGATGCATCGTCCACCATCACCTTTTGTGCTCTGATCATGAAATGCTCGGGATGGATCAATTTTGCTTCAGTTGTTCTACCATACGTAGAAGTCATATCGTTGAGATCTTGAAACTTGAGCTGCGATCCTGGTACAGCTAGCACTAGGGTGGCTAGTTCATGAATCTTTCGTTCTGATCGAAGGAATCCATCGACATGTTTGTGGATTCCCACCGCACCCGCTATGGTTGCAAACGGGTACCTGGACATGTAGATGCGATTCGTCTCGTTGACCAGAGTAGTGTAGTCGTTCATCGTCTGCGTCTTCAGGGCATCCGCAGCCGCTTCCACCCGACTCCTGAACCTCAGTCGATCTTCATCGTAGAGTTGCAGCAGTTGTGATCGGCTTGTGAAATAGTTGCTCTTCAAAAAGGTTGCCGGTATATTTGTATGTCGGAGGAAACTGTCCAGGATTTGTAGGATCCATCGGTCAAATTCGTGGTCTTGTAATAGATTGAAAGGCACTGATGTTAAAGGTGCCTTTCTCTTCTTCCTGACATCTGCAACGGAATCGCGAACTTGATCGGTAGTGGAATCATAGTTGAGTATGTTGGATGCAATCACATTTCTCACAGACGGGTAACTGATGTGATCGGGATTGTTTTTGAAGTGGGTGTCATATAGACGCTTTACTCGCGGATCAGCTTGCAGTTCCAACAGGGTGGAGGTGCTCAAACTGTGATCTGGCACTTGGGAAAGAACTTTCTTGACGCTTTTCAAGTAGGTATTGTAGTTATTACCTCCTTTTTGCCGCATGAGTGGTGGTATACCGAGAACTTCCCACGAATTTACTCTCTTCTTGAGGATGTGTTGAGGATGTTTCGACATAAACTGCAAGGTTTGCAACCTTTTACGCTTGGGTATCGAGAAGGATCCCTTTCTGGACCCCACCCTCTGTATACTGCTCGGTAGCCCATTTGAGAATTTCACCGTAAGATGCTCCATTCTTATTCATTATTGGAATTTTTTTCAATGTTTCGGCTAACTTTTCGGCTAACTTTTCGGCTAACTTTTCGGCTAACTTTTCGGCTAACTTTTCGGCTAACTTTTCGGCTAAACACGCACATCAACGAGGTTTTTATTCAAAAGTCACCTTTAATGCAGTGTCTTCGCAATACGTGTAGTACTGATTAGAAGAGCAATCAATGGTTAGGATAGGTCTGCGACACACCGCCAATAACTTCTCATACAATCTAAAGATAATGGATGACTTCGTGCACAGACCACCAAACAGAGTATTGAGATAACGCTTGATATTGCTTTTATCAGTGAAGCGAAATAGATACATAAAGTTTGCATTGATCTTCATGTCCTTAATGTTATCAAAGCTCTGAGAGAGAAAGAACACGTTCAACTTATGATGATGACTGTACATGGTGAAGAACTTGTAGAGACACTCTCTTTGGCTGCCGTGCTTCAAACCCATCACTCTGATGTCATCAATGATCACATAGGTGTTAGGCTGGAGATCCATGTCTTCGATACACTCGGGCATGGTGCTGTAATGCTTGAAGGATTTGAGGCTTGGGAGACGATACTGATCGGCCGGCGTGTTGGAGATGACAACTATACGCTCAGGTTGCACACGTTTCAGGAGCTTGATGAGAAAGTAGGATTTACCCATGTTGCTCTGTCCCAGAAACAATACGTTTTGACCCCAGGATTTCAGAGCAGGAATGATTTCCGTGAACCAATCCTTAGACTCGAACTGAAGACCAGGAATGTGCAGCCCGTGTCGAGCAGTGGCCGTGGTCGGAACATCGTCGTTCCTTACGGGACTAGTCTTTTTCTTCCTCCCGATTTCCTGTCCAAGGAGCGAGATAAAGTCCATGATCAGATGTTGTAGGATGGACCGATGTGAGCGGAACTCATAGAAGACGGTCCTGCACTGTTAATGTTCTGTCGAATTTTTTGAGCAAATGGAGTTTCAGGACGGGTTAGGGATCTACGAGGTGCAGACAGGAACGATGAAGCTTCGTCGAGGGCACGATGTCCTAGTTTTTTGAACAAGGCCCTTCCTTGTTTCTTTATTCCTCGTGCCCTGCGGCCTTTGGAGCGAACTTGACGAGCTGGTTTCTTGGTTTTTCGAGATGCTCGTTGACGAATCTTCTTCGGTGCATGCCGACGACGACGACTTTTAGTGCGCTTCATGGCACCTGCTGAGCTTCCCTTCCTTACTCCTCTGCCGAATATTTTATCCATTACGTTGTCACCCAGTGATGCCATGGTACCCATGGCCAAGGGAGCAGCCAGGTTCGTCAGGAGTGGTATGGCCTTGGCGGCTAATCCTGGTGGAATGGCTAGACCTCCTCGGTGCATGGCAGGGTTGTAAGCTGTTTTCATTTGCGCTTCCACAATGTCTCCGGACTCTCCTCTCCCCAAAAGCATGGAAAGAAGTGTCATTCCTGCCATGGCAGCCAGGGGTCCAAGTCCACCGCGTTGCATTGCATCTTGTTTTGTCGTGGGTTCCGCCATCTGCTTTTCCATCTCATCCGGTCCAGCACCGATTAGGTTTTTCCAGAAGCTCTTTTTCCAGAAGAATCCACCGTGTTGTCGACTCGATGTTTTCAAATCACCACCGTAGACACGATGTCTGGTCTCCAGGTCACCACCTTCCATGATGCCCTTTTACTACTAGGTCGGAATTAATTCATACAACTTCGGCTTTGATACCTTCATCTTTGCTCATGGTGTACAAGTACTTGTCCATGCAGAGAAGGTTGACTTTGATCGAGGCGCCATTTTCGCTAGGTCTCCTCACGGGGGCGTTTGTCACGTCGCTAAATTGATAGTCGATGGACAGATTTCCTCTCGATCTTGGATTGTCTGTGGTCCGATCCAGATTCAAGTTGATAGGCACCATAAAGTAGTGATTGCAGTAATCTGCAGCGGTGATGGGGATTTGCGTTCCATACGTCTTGCCGAAAAAGTCTTGAACCAGATTGTAGCCACGCAGGTAGGAGGATTTGTTGTAATCGTAGAAGTATTGCCCTTCAGTATTACGACTCACATCCCACTGGAACTTGAGCGGGTTGTCAAAGAGCGTCTGGTCGTTGACAGTGACACGAAGTTGACTGAGATTTGCATGAATCATGGCCAGTCTGTTCGAAGAATGCGATGCTTGGCCTCCAGCCAATGCTGGCTGTGTACCATGAGTCAAATCTGTGAAGAACAGGATCATCCTGCGTGGAATGTCCGCATTGTGAAGCAGTTCCAGTGTACCAGCATCATCTGAAAT